GTTTTCTAATCTTTGTAATAAGTACAGTGAAAGAATGTTTCTAGTGAGCAGACTTCTGAGTAAGAAAGGCTTTAAGACTCCACCAGGAGTGGGGATTCTAAGGAAAGCCAGAGAAGGTGTGCTTAATATGTTAACAGGCTTTATTAACCTAAGAATACGATTTTAAGTATCCTGAGTTTGAGAGACAAAACACTGAAATTTTTCCCTTAACGCTCTAATATTTATTTTTTTAAATACTGTTAATGTGCTTATTACGTCCTATTATCAACATTTAAGTTTCCTGGTAACCCCTGTTTTGTCCTCCAAGACACCGGACTATCTATAGTATTACTAAACCTGAATTGCACAATCAGTAAACATTGTGCAACAGTGGGAGAGGTTTCCAAGTATTCTGAAGAAAATATATAAAAATCTGGCTGATTTCCACACACTTTTGGCCACTTCAGTAACATTTCTAATTAGGTTAGAGGTAAAGGGGATTTCACTACATTACGATTTTATAAATGGCCCCCACCCCTATGCTGGTGCTGTCCACAGAGAAAACTCAGGTTCGCCGCAATCTCTGCAAGCTACTCTCACTTAGAGAAACTACGAGGTTTTGATTTTTGTCTAAACCTTCCACTGAGAGGTGCACGTGCAACTCTTCCTCTGAAATAACCCCTCAACCAATGAGCGACTGGAAACTTCCAAGTCAGACAATGTAACACTTGGGCAAAGAAAAGCCTTCTTTTCTGAGAAATGACTTTCTAAATCCCATTCTTGGAAAAGAGGAAGAAAAGATGTCTCATAGAACCATAATTTAAGGGATTAACATGCTATTTTATTGTAAATAAATGACATTTGAACGGTTTAAGTTATCACTAACCATTACATTGACAACAATGTGGGGGCCTCTAATAGATGTTAACACATTAATTAATAACATTAAAAAATTTTTTTTTTACATTTCTAACCTCTGGGTAATTTTTTAAGACCCAGAGCTGGAGAATCGGTGTTTTACATAACCCTGTGCTGGTGGTACTTTTCCGCAATTGTTTCCTACCTTCTCTCACACAGTAGGCAAAGGATTCTGCAGCTGGGCACAAGATCGAACATAAAGAAAGCTACGTGGGCCATTGTAGGTTTGTATTAATCTAAGTTGCTTAACAAATTCAAGTGACATTTTGTGTTAGTTCTAAAATAAGTTCATCCACTAGATACAGAAAATTTAAAATCCCAGGGTTCAAACTGACTGTTTTTTAAACAAAATCGTTCAACACAGTTTTTTTATGATTCACAACTACACCCTAACACTATAATGTTTCTGAACTGCCATTACAAACGAGTCAAACCTTTAAGGACTCACTCAGGTATGTGTATTATTCTGAAATATGCTTCTGGTATTGTTTTTATTAAATAAAACTGCCCCTGGGGCTTCATGACGTTTTGTTACATTCTTTGTCAGATGACTGGAATCTGTATTTGATGGTCTGTGATTGGCGTTCTGGAAACAGGCAGAATAGTGAAGCATGGGGTTGGCTCATCCAAAGTCAGGAAATAAAATCGTATTCCCAACCTCTCTGATACAGTAAGCTCATGATCCCAATTGTTGCCCCAGTCAAATCCAAACTTGGAGTACTTATGAATATATCTTTTGATGTTTCCCAAATACCTCGGGATGACAAAAACTCAAGTCACACAGCTGCAAAACATGTAATCAACTATCAGGTTTTTCATCTTAATGTTTGTGCCAGCACACATTTATTTAATTCAATAAAAATGTACTGAACTTTACTATTCATAAAACCCCTTTAGGCTCCTACCAGGCATCCGAGTAAAACAAAAGTTTTGTCTTCAATGAGCTGACAAAATATATATACACACAAATAACTACTAAAAACATGGTATAAGCACCATAAAGAAAGTTTAAGAAAGCTCCAAAGACCTTTAAAGAAGGGAGATCACAATCTGTTTTGGGTCAGAGACGACAATGTGAACTAAGTAACCCACTGGGAGAGGGCGATGAGCAGGGAGCCTGTTTAGGAAACAATGAGTGACACAGCTGGGCTAGAGCCCAGAGACCGCGACAAAATGTGACTCCAAAGAGACAGGAGCCACACTGCCTGCAAAGGGCTCTGAAGTTGGGCTGAGGACACAGAACGAAGCCACTGTGTGTAGCTATGCTACGAACAAGCCTGTGCCTCTTGGGGATATAAAAGTAAGGAATGCAATACGCTATGTTGAGAGCACAGGAACAGAACGTGGCACTAAAGCCTGCAATAACCCAGAAAACGGAATAAGGAAGGTCTGAACCAGGTGGCTTAGAATCCAGTGGACCTGGTAACAGACTTGGTATTCAGGGCAACGAGGAGGGGAAAGGGGAGTTGAAAGATCATTGTTCTGAATATGGATGACCAGAAGAACCCTAATAGAAGTATCCCAATAAAAACAGAGAAGTTGAAGGAAGAACTGAGTACTTTGCATTGTTTAGTTCTAGGAAAAGAAAGTGCAGACAAATCTCGGCCTGGACAGTGCACCTGAGGAACCAGGTACACACACTTGGCATACGATGCGAACCGTTGCTGGGCTAATGCACAGAGCTGCATAATGAGGATGAGATTCCAGCGCTCTCCACGGACAGGTATGTCAAGGAGTGTGAGTAAACAAAACAAAAAGATAAAAAGGAAGATGAAGATACAATCTTGGAGAAAGACTACATTTAGAGAATTGGAAGGAGAACCTAATAAAAGTGACTATAGGTCTGAAGTAAGACAAGAAGGAAAATCATTAAGAGCTAGAAATGTCTCATAAGAGTTTCAAAAAGCGGTAACTATCTTTTGAGTGGCAGAGACTGAAAAAGACCCAAGAAACATAAATACAGAGAAAAGTAAAAGCCCACGGGATGTGCCATTGAGGAGTTCTGTGATTAAGAAATCAGCTGGCAAAGGTTTGGGAGATGGCAACAGAGAGGAGTCACTGACTTTCACAGTTTTTTTTAAAAGAAATCCACTTTCCTATCTCTAAGAACTAGTCAAATTCTAATCCTACATCCTGGAGGGGGCTGGTAAATCCACTGAAGGGGAAGGAGAGGGGGAAAAAATCCCCTATTTGTAGCACCTGATGATTCCCAACGTGTAAATACTGCCACTATGCCTGACTTCAAGCTGCCAACAGGCGTCAAAATTCCTGAAAATTTAGCAACAGCTGTCAGTACAAGCCAACTACAGCACACCACTGCAAACCACCTATTTTATGGTCTACTCTGCAACTGAGCAATTCTGTGACAACCTTCCTCTCAGCTCAACTGATAATCATTCTCGGGGACAATCTTGCAGCAATTCACAGAAGTCTACCCCTACTCTTACTACATTTAGCTTTCTCAACTGTAGTGCAGCTGAAAAGGATCTGATGTTGAAAGCTAATGGCTTCCAGACGTGCCCGTCTTCACTGAGTCAGGAAGGAAAGCACAAGAATCATATTCTCCAGGAAAACCTCCCCAAGACTTTTTATAATTGTTTCCTTTGTTAGCGTGCTCTTTCCATCTAACCCTGAAATGTCTTAAGAATAAGAAACTTGAATCAAGACTTTTGTTTTCCCACAACCTACATGGCTATTGGGATATTTCTATTGTTGATTAACCAAAAGAGAGAGAGAGAGCGAGTGTGAGTGAATGCACTCTGTGTCAATGCAAAAACTAAATAAGACAGTGTCATTTGAGCAAGCTAAAGAAACAAGAACCAAACACTGAAATGAGTTCCCATCCCAGTGGCAGGCAGTAGAAATGTGGGGAGAGCACCTTAGACAAAATCCAGACACTCAGGGGCTCCAATTCAGACCTCCTACTCACTAGTGTGGTGCTAGGAGCCTCCCAGTTGCAGGTCCAATGGAAAAATGGGAATGGCAAGTCCTAGCACACAGGGTCAGCCTTGGGTTTAATATAAACCCAACGGAGCACCCAGCAGAAGCAGGTACCTGCTGCCTGGCCTGGTACATTTCAGAAGGCCTTACCAGCTTGGACACTGGACATTACTCAAGTGTATTGCCAAGGTACCAGGCAGGCCCACCTCTGCTGTGGCACCAGTCAGCTGCTAAAGATTTTTTATAGTCTGTCCCCCAGTGACCTCCAGCCATCACCCAAAGCCATAAATTTCTTTCACCCCGGTCCCCTGGACGCCCAAGCCTGAGAACAACAGGGAGACATCAGAATCTACCTAAAAGCTGTCTCAAAAGAGCCAAAACATTGGGACAAACTATACAGGAACAAGCAACAACTTAGGTTCCTATTTGAGTCCACGTGTCAATCAGAATCTCACCTGAACAAGGAAATTCAAAAACCACCCCAAACAATGGATTCATTTATTACTGAAACTCAAAGAACCTAATTTCTAACATTTCACAACTCCCCCTCCCCCCATGTTTCCAAATATCCACTTCGTGGTATTCCACGTTATCATCTATCATGTAGATTATGTTCCACATGCAAACTTTTCCAAACATCTTTAGTAGAATTGTTATTAAAATATTAAACATACACAAGGGACCACAGAAATTTCTTGACTCTCCGACGTAAATGACTAGCCTTAAGAAATACAGAACTAAAGTTCACAGCAATTTAATTGTTCCACTTATTAACTACTACTTGTCTCTACCAACAAGAGCATAAAGTTAGTTACAAGTAAAAAAGAAATAATTCAAGCTTAGTTTATTTCCTTATCAAAAAGCTTCACATTAGACATCTGCCTTCCAATTTCAATGTAGTTTTTTTATATATACATGCGTGCACGCACAGTTCTCCCCTAAGCCAGAAGAGTTGCAAGTAAGAGATCTCCGTTTGAAAGCTTAATTCTGAACTTGCTATCCGTATCGTATTAACTTTCTAAAATGTGTATGTACATCAAACGCTTTCTGAAACCCAAAGTATATGCCCACTTCCCTCACCCCCTAGCCCTCACGACGGGCTCCTCCTTCCCCGGACACCCCCCTTGCATCCCGCGGCTCTAGGTTGAATTCGGGCTCTCCACCTGCGAGCGCCCCGAGGAAGCGCCGCCCCTTCCTCCAGCGGTGGGAGTATCGGCCCAGGCGGCACTTTCCTTCTGGTCCCAGGCTGGACGCAGCAAAGCGCCTACTTGCAGACGGAAGCCGCGCTCGGAAGCGGCCAAAGGGACTCGGCCGCTCCCAGTGACTGGAGTCGGGTAGAGGCACTGCCGGTCACCGCCTGCCGGCCGCGCTGGGGTAGGGCCGAGGTCCGAGGACTCCTCTGCCCCGAACGAGAGCCCCCACGGCCAGCGAGGCCGCATCCAGGCGCTCGGCCACCCTCAGCGCCGCCCCGCGGAGACGCTCACACAACTCGGCGGCCCCTCCGCGCTGGGGTCAAGCGGCGTGCCGCCGACGCTGGGGTCTGACTCAAGTCACCTGCGCCCGGACGCCGACTGGCGTCCGCCGGGGCACAACGGACCGGGCTCCTCCCCCGGACGACGCCGGTGGGCGGCCAGGCGAGTCCTCAGCGCAGCCCGCCGGCCTCGGCCCTGACCCGCGTGGAAGGGGCGCGTCCTAGTCCCACCAGTCCCGGCCCCACTCACCTTTCGCCTGTGTCCTCGTCCTCCGCCGCCATTGCTGCAGCCGCCGCGCAAGCGCCAGGGAGTGCCTGCTAGCCGGCTGACTCGCCGACTGGGCCGCTCGGGCCGCCGCCTCCCTTAAGGCCGCCACGACCCACGCATGCGCCGCCCACTAGTACTACCCAGCGGCGCGGCCGCGCGCAGGCGCGTGCCCGGCCCTTGCCCTCCCTCCCCTCCCTCCCCTCCCTGCGGCTGAACACCTGCCACGCATGCGTCATCCCTCCCTACGCTCTCTAACGTGGGCGCTCGACCCAGCAGTCCTCCTCCACGGCCTGGTGGGACCCAGGCGGCAGATTTATGTAGTAACTAACTTAAGTGACTGTATTGATGCATCATCCGCTGGCACTGTCAGGTACTGGGTACCAGGCGGCCACCTGGTATCCTGGGGCTGGGTTGCTCAATCTTGCCCTGTACGAGCAAAGATAGTTTCCGACTGATACTTAATGGCGAATGGAAATGCTGGAAGTGATATGTGGCTTTTTGGCAGTCCCTTACCCGCAGGTGGGTGGAGAAGGGGAGAGGGAGACACGATATCAGTCTATTGCTATCCACTGCGCGAGACGCTGGAGGTACAGTAGCAGTCAAAACCGCACCTCCCATCTGCCCCGCCTTCTGTGTACTTGGGAGGGCTGGAAAGAGCACTTCCGCGCTTACAGTGAGGGAATCGTTAATGTAAATGTCAACGTTTCCTGACTGGTTTTCAAGTCTTCTAGCCATCAGACACTGTAATGATGCCACCCCTTACTATTCATCTGTCTTATGTACTGTGTGCCTGCTTGTGCCCACTCCGTTCTGAGAAACGAAGCCCTGATATAAGAGATCGTGCCTTTTCAGAGCCTGCGCTAATGTATCACCCTTTATTTTTAGTGCAGATCATTGCTCTCCTTCCCTAAGTCTCCTCTCTCACTACACCTGCTCTCTTATGAGTCCCTGCAATTCAAACTATTTCTGTTGCCCCCAGATTCTCAACTTTGTATGATTGTTACGGCTTTTTAATGGACATTAGTGAATATCCTCCCAACTACACTGGACATTCCTTGAGGACAGGGATGGTGTTTCTGTGATTTAAAGAGAAAAACCACTCATAACCCCTTGAGCATAATCATAACAATATTTTTATGGTATTTGATCCAGTTTATAAAAATCTTAGGGAAGACTGGGACATACAAAAACACTTTTCCAGGGATCCATGGTATTGCTAGAGACTTGTGTATCTGCATAAACTGACCCTCTATAATCTCCACCTCTCAGACTATACCTAGATTAGGGGCACCTCCTTCTCTATTGGCCAGGCTGGTTGTTGGGGACTCTGCTGCCTGGAGTACAGTCCCAGCCCAGTGGTACTGAGTTCAGTAACACACCTGTGGCTGCTGCGCAGTGAGAGAGAGGAGAGAGCTGCCAGTGCCCTAACTCTTTTGGTGACCTACTAACCAGTTACCTTGACTGAGCAGGACTTATGCTGGGAGATCACAGAGCGCCTACTTTGCACTGTCTAATCAGATAGAGGTAACACCTGCCAAGGCAAGTCCAACTTCTGCCTTGCCTACTCTACCCCAGGGCTATAGAGGGAGTTCCAAGACCTGAATGCTGTCCTTAGGTCACCAAGACCAAGTGTGCTATAGGTTGATGACTGGTGCCCCAATGGTTTCAAGGTTGGCTTTAATTTCTAGTCCCTACCCCACCCCACCCGAAAACTCTCCACCAAGATTCTCCAGGGGAAATGCTGAACGATGCTGCAGCCATCACAAGAGTCTGGGCCTTTATCGCAAGTCTGCCAAGCAAACACTTGCAAAGCAGAATGAGAGTAAAGGCACAGGGGATTTTCCAAGGGCTTCAATGGCCAGCTGCCCTATGAATGCTTATAAAATGCTGTAATTCCAGTGAGAAAGCAAGTGTGGCGGGGAGATAAGAAGGACATGGAAAGGAGGGTCGGGCCTGGTTAGTACTTGGATGGGAGAAAGACATGGGAAGGTAAGGGGAAGTGGTAGCCGGGTCGAGGGCAGGGCCTGGGTGGATGCCAATGAGCTGTATGAGCTTGGCAGGGAAATGACATGGTTGGGGCTCCCCAGACTCTAATCTGGGGATCTGGTTCAACTGCAGATTCAGACTCTGTAGATCTCAGGTGGGGCCTGATTCTCTGAGCTGAGATGGTCTGTTTCTAACCAGCTCCCAGGGGTGCCTGTCCTGCAGCCAGCGAGCAGACCGCCCATTAAGTAGTGAAGCTCCAGAACAGCCTTGTCCACTACAGCTTTCTACAGTGATGGAAAAATGTTCCAAATATAGTTTAGAGTTTGGCTAGTTGGGACTGAGTTTTTAATGTTAACTTAAATTTGAAAACATGGTAGCTTATGGCGGCCACGTCGAACAGGAAGGCCTTACATCTTACACTCCTCATTGATGAAAATGAGGGTTTAAGACTAGTTAATTCCCAACATTCTTTCCAAATTTGATAGGCTAAGTTGTTTTCAAGGTGTGTATGAGGTTGGGGATGAGGAGGTTGATGAGGGGATTAAAGTGTGGAGTGAAGCCCGAGGGGTTTAGAGCTAGCTGTGGGCACACAGCATGTCCCAAGATTCTAGAACACTCTGTGATGGAGCTGCCCAGAGACAAGAGACTGACTAGCCAGTGGGTGTGGACTGAACTCTCAGAACCAGATAAAAGGCCACCAGCAAGAAACATATGCCAGGCCATGAGGGAAGAGAGATTAATTTAACCACATCAAAATCTAAAACATCTCTGGAAAAAAAAAGACAGAATAAAACAATGTAAAGATATAAGCTCTGGCTGGTGTGGCTCAGTAGATTGAGCGCCGCCCTACAAACCACAGGGTGGCTGGTTTGGTCAGAGCACATGCCTGGGCTACTGGCCAGGTCTCCAGTAGGGATTGCATGAGAGGCAACCACACATTGATGTTAATCTCCTTCTCTACCTTCGTTACCCTCTATCTAAAATAAACAAATACAATCTTTAAAAAAATATTAAACAGACCACGTTTTACTATCATCTTTAATAGCTAAAGAAAAATTGAATTAAACAGTAAGTAGGTTTTAACAATTCTTCTCAGGGTAGAAGACTTTCAATCCATAAAGAGACACAAAATGCTGACACTCATCTGTGGTCAAGGGCATGAAAATTCAAACCATGGTGACGTAAGTGAGAAAGCTTCGTGGTACTAAACACTGGCAAGAACCAGGATCTATGGGACTATGTCCAGCCAGCTGATGGGACTCCCTGCTGATACAGCCATTCAGAAAACAGTTTGGTAGTTACCTATTTAAATATGTAAAATTAATATACCCTCTGGCCCAGCAATTTAACTTATGGGACCCACACCTACTTCTCTCCTTCATATACAACACTCCCATCTTTAACCTCTGGCAACCGATGATCAGCCTCCATAGGTATGTGTCCTGATCAGGAATCAAACCTGTGACTTTTTGGTGCATGGGACAACACTCCAGCCAACCAAACCGCACCAGCCAGAGCCATGATCCATTTTGAGTGAGTTAATAGTTGAATGAAGTGAGAGGTTTGACTCAAAGGTGTTTGTTTGTTTCTTGCCTGTGAATATCTAACTGCTCCAGCACCGTTTGTTGAAATCAGACAGCCCTTGACATATTACTGGTTAGCCTCTCGTGCTCTTGTAAAGAATGTGTGATATGCGAATGGTAACAGACATTTTTCAAGGTAAGGAGTTTCGCGGTGGTGGGTGTGGAGATGTCCCCATCTGCTGTGACAGTTTCTGTGGAACAGCTCACAGCCTTCAGCCCCTCCAGGGCACACATGAGCCACACAGAGCTCCCTCACCAAGGTCCTGCCCTGAGGACGGCCCCCGTCTAATCATGGATGTAGGTGGGAATATAAAGGATCGACTATTTCCACCCAAGCTGGAACAATCCTGATCAGCTTGCTTCTGCCCCAGAACTCTCTGTGGCTGAGGCTGCCTGAGCCTGGCTCGCAGCTTAGCTTTTCCTTCTGCCCAACCCCACTTTCTCCCTCTTCCCCCACACAGGCGGCGACCTCAAGGGCATTAAACTCCTGTTTTGGAGACCACTTCCAGTGGATTCCAAGCTGGGAAATCCGTTTTCATTTTTATTTGATGATAAGCATGACACCTGGCGGAGGTATGGGGAGTCGTGAGAAGGTTGCGACTTGGTGGGTCTTATACTACTGTGACAGGAGCGGGTCGTGACAGGAGTGCGTCACAAGAGGAGCACTTTCAGGAGAAAGGGTGCTCTCACAGCCCACCACCGCTGCAGAGGAGGGGGGTGAGCTGGAATGGAGGAAAGGACAGCGGTGCATGGCAGGGTGAGCACAGCATGCCAAGGGGAGAGAGGGCAAAGTGAGACAGAGTGCGAGTTGCACAGTACTGTCTCCTCTTCTGTCACCATGGTTTGTAGTGGTCCCAACACTAGGGAGATAGATGTGTGAGTGACCATCCAAAAGTACAGCAAAACCAAATCTCCCCCATCAACGTGTGATCAAAAATCGGGTAGTCATGCCATTGCCATCATCCCCAAGCTTGTACCAGCTTCCGTTCTGATGTCCTCCTAATGCTTTTCATGACTCCTTCGGAAAACCAGACTTGGAGAAGGAAGTTATATAGTTCGGCTTCAAGGTTGAATGTCAGTGGAGGTGGGGACAGGAAAGAGAGGAGAAGGGCAGGGGCCCCAGGGGCTGGCATCCGGTTTCCAGCCATGTCTCCTGGCCCCTG